AAAACATCTAAATTATAGATATGTGAGGAACATGCAGCTCCCCATGCTAATATACCATATGTGAGATGAGGCTCAATCAGTGCATGGTATAATGTTCGAAGATATTTTTCTGTCAATATATTCCCAAGGTATTTAATTTTGTAGGATACAAATCTAACTTTCTTTAAAATATAATTGACATGGATGTCCCATCGTAAGTGAGGATCCAAGACCACTCCAAGGTATTTTATGTTGGGCACTCTATTAATTTGCATTTTTTGATCATTAATATTGAAGGAGAGATTTGTGTAATTTGGCAGATGTCTAGCATAAGATTCAAATGGTAAAAAATGTGTTTTAGAGTAGTTAATGCTTAATTTTCTACTGTTAAACCACCGAATAATTTTGATAAAATCATTTTCAATTACATTTTTCAGATCAGACCAGTCAGTGCCTTCATATAATATTGCAGTATCATCTGCAAAACTAGTTATTTTGCCAACACAATTAATTTGGAGAATATCATTTAAATATATATTAAATAACAGCGGACCTAAGACAGTTCCTTGTGGGATACCACACTTAATATACATTTCTTTACTAAATGATCCTGATATCTGCACAGATTGTGGGCGATTTGACAAATAACTTTCGATCAGTGAGTACGCGTTTCCTCTGAAACCAATTCTCTCCAATGCTTCTAATAATAATTTGTGATTAACTGTGTCGAAAGCTTTCTTTAAATCAACAAAAATGCAGATTGAAGGGATTCTGTTATCAATATTTTGATATATTTGATTTAGAATTTTAGTTATTGCGTCCGATGTAGCCTTCCCTTCTGTAAATCCATATTGATTTTTACTTAAAATTTTGAATCTTGTGAGGTATCAAATCATTCTAGTAGATAAAACTTTTTCAAAAACCTTTGCTACACTGGATATTATTGATATTGGTCTATAGTTGTTAATATCTGTTTTTGTTCCTGATTTATGTATCGGTATTATATTACCTTTTTTTAAAATTGAGGGATATATGCCAGATTCAAAGCATTTGTTGATTAGGTAAGTGAGTGGTTCTGTTATGTCCTCGGCTATAATTTTCAAATGCTCGCTTTTAATACCATCGAACCCAGGACTTTTCCGATTTTTTAAGATAACGTTGATATGATACAATATATTATAGATATTTGTATTTTGATATCACAGTTTTTAAACAGCCGTGATGAGTATTAAAAACAAGCAAACACAAGTACGTAAAGACATTTCACTATACATCCATAAAGAACCAGGAAGAATTTAGACTGTAATAATGTACTTACTTCGAAAGTATTTCTAAAAATATCACAACAAAAATTAAATGTTACGTTGCTTTGACCTAGTGTCATAGAAGCGAACGTTGACTTGGATACGGCGGACGAGATATATCTTTGGTATTCCTGCTTAAATATGCATTAGAAACAATACTATTTTATTGACAAAGATCACGTAAAGAGTGAATCCGTGACAGACAACTATCTTTTGCAAGTATCACATCTAGTTCGGAATGTGAAGATTTTAAGTTTATTCTGGCGTTCCAGAGAGGAAACGAAACTATTTGTGGCAGTTTTTTTTAAATCATCAGAGTGGTCATATCTTAGTTCAGCGTCTGCCAAATTCTGGTCTCCCATGTAAATATCAACTTCTTGATTCAAGAAAACGTTTTTATTTCCTCAGATGTCCATGTGATTTTCAATCTTTTCACTAGTATGAACTGTCCACGACCCTCGCTGGTTCTTTTCGGCCTCCACTCAAGAAAAAACTCACGCGGGGGGTTCGAAGGCGTGCCTCGATGTCACCTTTTTGCTCCGTAGGAACATAGCTTTACAGGCGACATGAAGATGCTTAGAGAAAAATCAAACCGATACAAAAAACATGTTTTCGTAGATTATGCAATAGGAAGAGGTAAACCATAAAAATGGTCGACACGACATGCAACGCAGTCATCAGTTGATAAAGGATTATGTTCAGCACAAGTTAGACCTAATTTGAAATTAGTCAACGTCATCGACCTTATATCCAATCGTTCCTTGTCCCAGAGATCAAGCCTAGTCCATGCTGATGAGTTGCCAGAAAAACTCGAAACCGCTGTCCGTGGTTGGCTGTCTTTGGTTGGACTGATGATAACAGCATGTTTAGGTTAGACCATCTAAGAAAAAAGTTAGTTACGAACATGTATCCTTTCCCTTTCCTACCCATAGTACCGTCCATCTGGCAACGTTGCGACTCATCTCCAATATCCGAAAGCATGATGGGTGACACGCGGTAGAGCGCCCACAGATCACCAGTCATGCAAGATATATACGAACATCGGCACGCCGGCCACGAGACTTGAAGTTAGCAAATGCAGGGTCGCTTGTCGAAAATATTCTTCTAACGTTCTGGGTTAAGGACAAATGTACGGGGCAATCTATAATGTGAATTATGCTTAAGAGGTGCGAAGATTTATTTTCATTGGACGTGTATTATCATACTAACATCAAAAAATTGCGATACACCCTCCCCAACCCATACAAACCCTCGTCCCCCAATTTTTTACCCTAAAAAACGAAGTATGTGCCATTTTTATGTTTTTTCGTTTTTGCCCTTTTCCTCCGCCGCCACTGGAGGGATTTTCAAAAACCAATAAGCGTTCACAGGCAGACAGACAGACTCAAAAGAGTGGCATAGCCTTCTGTGATGTACGTATGTACATGTACATCCAAACAACATAATATCTCATTTTCGATTTTGCGATTACAATACTTCCTAGCAAGAAGGCGAGGGAAGTAAAAATGCCAGCAATGTCGTGGTAGATTGAATACTTTCACGAATTATGTAGAAAATTAATGGAATATAGTTTTATATCATTAAGTCATGGCTTTCAAGACTAAGTACCCCGCTTTGATCTTGTAGAAAAGCAAAGTCAAAACAATGTTGGGGAATGTGCGTACATTTGTCTATAGTCTAGACTTCTCGGTACCGCCAGGAAGTCTAGGGAGCATGTTAATTGTGATTACTTATGTGCACTCGTCAACATAATTGCAGCATGGTTATTCTTAGATCGTAAAGAACAGGCAATACATAGTCACATTATGCTAAATGAAATTAATCTTACCAGTGCCAATAACAGAACAAAAAAAAAAAGAAATTAATCTTCAGGGTAAGTACACGACGAGTATCTTCTCCTCTCAAAAAGTAGTCCAACGGATATACGTAATGCTTGCAATGAATACTTTCACGAATTATGTAGAAAGTTAATGGAATATAGTTTTATATCATTAAGTCATGGCTTTCAAGGCTAAGTACCCCGCTTTGATCTTGTAGAAAAGCAAAGTCAAAACAATGTTGGGAATGTGCGTACATTTGTCTATAGTCTAGACTTCTCGGTACCCCCAGGAAATCTAGCGAGCATGTTAATTGTAATTACTTATGTGCACTCGTCAACATAATTGCAGCATGGTTATTTTCAGATCGTAAAGAACAGGCAATACATAGTCACATTATGCTAAATGAAATTAATCTTACCAGTGCCAATAACAGAACAAAAAAAAAAAGAAATTAATCTTCAGGGTAAGTACACGACGAGTATCTTCTCCCCTCAAAAAGTAGTCCAACGGATATACGTAATGCTTGCACTGAAGACTCCAATCACCTTCTAAGGCAGTATTACTTTTACACCTTCAAAACACAACTTAGTTTTCCCAACGATGCTATTATGCATGTCTGCCAAGGAGCATATGTGAATATTGATTGTCCTCTATCTAGCACGGCATCAATTTCAAAGTAAAATAAGCAATTCCGAATCTTTTATTACTATAGACCGACATAAAGCTCAGTTGAAGCACATACGCATCGTCCTATTATTTATAAATATGGTATAATTGTCAGTCTTGTTCTTAGCAGAAGATAACGCGAGCTCTGTTTACATAAAAGATCGATCGTCTATCATCTTGCATTCTAAATAAATTTCATCGGTTTGTCCTTGATACTTATCCATCTACCATCTAAGAACTGCCTCGACGTGCAACTGAGACTTCTGATACGGTTTACGCTGCCGGTTACCGGTAAAGGTCGCGGTTTTATAACGCCAGAACTTGTGGAAAATGGAGCATTGTTGAACGATTATGTGGTGTGTTAAGGATTCCTCGAATAATAAAAATGCTTCGTATTGTGGATTATGAGGTCTTTTCCATAGAAGGAACTAATATAAAATGAGATTCAGCTAATACAGGAAAATGGGTGATTTGGAAGTTTTAGGACTAATTAGATCAGAGTTCCCCAAACTTTTTTGTGTCGTAGACCCCTTGCCATGTTTTTCCGTGTTGGGTACCCCCTACTTACCTGATATAGATTTCCTGTAAATTTCTAACTGTCGTGAAGTTTAGTATTAAAAACTTAAAGTAAAAACACATGTTAATTTATACAGTACATATAATTGAATTTAAATTAAAACTACTTAAAATAAAATTTTGTATCTGTTATGTAAAATATACGTAACATTAAATAAACAGGTGTCTGACTAATGAGTGCCCGCATTGGGAATAAGTGCCCGCATTGAAAAAAAAAATAAGAGGGATAAAATAAAAAAAAAGTGAAAAATAATAAAAAAAGTTTTTTACTTAAAATAGTACAATAAGCGAGTTCGTTTATTAATTATAACATAAACGTATGTTCTATAATAATTTCACTGTTAGTTTGATTAAATTCCGCTTTTTATACGTTTAAGTTATCTAAAAATAGCCAAAAAATTAACGAATTTTAGTGTGTACCTATCCTTGAATTTTCAGAATAATAAAAAAAAAAAATATTTTCTAACTAAATGTTGTCGATGGATGACGCAATGTATTGCTAACACCCCTGACACATTTTGTTTTAAATAGCTTATAAATCCACGATAACGTCCAACCATGGGAGGTGCTCCATCTGTAGCTACTGATATTATATTTGATAAAGGAATTGCTTTTTCAATGAAGTAATCCTTCAAAACATGAAATATTGATTCACCTTTAGTGTCGGTTATCAAAGTTCTTGCGAAGAGCAGTTCTTCGCAGATTTCTTGATTCATAATAAAATGAACATATGCCAATAATAATGCTGCATTATCAGGTAAAGTTGACTCGTCCAGTTGTATAGAGAAATGGGTCGTCTGCAAATAATTACATAAGAAGCTTTCAATATCAGAACTCATTTCATCAATACGTCTTTCAACAGTATTGTTGCTTAAGGGAATTCTTTTAATGATATCAGATGCAGGTTTGTGTAAAACAGTTTTTAAAACATCTTCAACGGCTGGCAAAATTAACTTCTCTCCGATAGTATGCAGTTTTCCGGATTTTGCTATAAGTAACGAGATATTGTAAGACGTCCGCAAACCATCATCATTTCTTTGTGACGTCGAAGCGAACATTCTGTCCAGTGTAGGTCTCTTCTGAAATTTATCTTTGAGTGTTTGAAAGTATTTCACATCTTTCTCTGTTTTATCAGGGTGGCATCTTCTCAGATGATATTGCAGTTTAGATGGTTTCAAAGCGTCATTGCCCAGAACTTTGTTGCATAAAAGGCACATAGGCGATTGTTTGTCCGGCAATGATGGAATGAAGCCAAATTTCAAATAATCAACACTGTACTGTCTACATTTCTTTTTAGATTCGGACATGGCATCAGTCATCTGTGGGCAAAATTAAATTATTTAAATAAGACAGAAAATCCAGCAGCTGTAGGTATATTAAACATATTTTTTGATTTTTCCGAAAACATTCCATAATTCGAACATCTTGCAACAATTAGCTCGAATTACGGAGATTGCACTGTAATTATATTACCGATTGCTAAAACTTTCAAAAAGAAATTATTGAGGAGTACTCGTGTAATTTTGCATGATTGAATATTTAACTACTAATAACTAAAGTCATGATTGGCGTAATTTATCTATCTTTGCTAACTACTAGTACAAAACTAAAATTTAATAAAAATAATGTACTTACTTTTCTCCAGCACTCTCAAACAAAATAACACATGTTAATTTATACAGTACATGTAATTGAATTTAAATTAAAACTACTTAAAATAAAATTTTGTATCTGTTATGTAAAATATACGTAACATTAAATAAACAGGTGTCTGACTAATGAGTGCCCGCATTGGGAATAAGTGCCCGCATTGAAAAAAAAATAAGAGGGATAAAATAAAAAAAAGTGAAAAATAATAAAAAAAAGTTTTTTACTTAAAATAGTACAATAAGCGAGTTCGTTTATTAATTATAACATAAACGTATGTTCTATAATAATTTCACTGTTAGTTTGATTAAATTCCGCTTTTTATACGTTTAAGTTATCTAAAAATAGCCAAAAAATTAACGAATTTTAGTGTGTACCTATCCTTGAATTTTCAGAATAATTTAAAAAAAAATATTTTCCAACTAAATGTTGTCGATGGATGACGCAATGTATTGCTAACACCCCTGACACATTTTGTTTTAAATAGCTTATAAATCCACGATAACGTCCAACCATGGGAGGTGCTCCATCTGTAGCTACTGATATTATATTTGATAAAGGAATTGCTTTTTCAATGAAGTAATCCTTCAAAACATGAAATATTGATTCACCTTTAGTGTCGGTTATCAAAGTTCTTGCGAAGAGCAGTTCTTCGCAGATTTCTTGATTCATAATAAAACGAACATATGCCAATAATAATGCTGCATTATCAGGTAAAGTTGACTCGTCCAGTTGTATAGAGAAATGGGTCGTTTGCAAATAATTACATAAGAAGCTTTCAATATCAGAACTCATTTCATCAATACGTCTTTCAACAGTATTGTTGCTTAAGGGAATTCTTTTAATGATATCAGATGCAGGTTTATGTAAAACAGTTTTTAAAACATCTTCAACGGCTGGCAAAATTAACTTCTCTCCGATAGTATGCGGTTTTCCGGATTTTGCTATAAGTAACGAGATATTGTAAGACGTCCGCAAACCATCATCATTTCTTTGTGACGTCGAAGCGAACATTCTGTCCAGTGTAGGTCTCTTCTGAAATTTATCTTTGAGTGTTTGAAAGTATTTCACATCTTTCTCTGTTTTATCAGGGTGGCATCTTCTCAGATGATATTGCAGTTTAGATGGTTTCATAGCGTCATTGCCCAGAACTTTGTTGCATAAAAGGCACATAGGCGATTCTTTGTCCGGCAATGATGGAATGAAGCCAAATTTCAAATAATCAACACTGTACTGTCTACATTTCTTTTTAGATTCGGACATGGCATCAGTCATCTGTGGGCAAAATTAAATTATTTAAATAAGACAGAAAATCCAGCAGCTGTAGGTATATTAAACATATTTTTTGATTTTTCCGAAAACATTCCATAATTCGAACATCTTCTTGCAACAATTAGCTCGAATTACGGAGATTGCACTGTAATTATATTACCGATTGCTAAAACTTTCAAAAAGAAATTATTGAGGAGTACTCGTGTAATTTTGCATGATTGAATATTTAACTACTAATAACTAAAGTCATGATGGGCGTAATTTATCTATCTTTGCTAACTACTAGTACAAAACTAAAATTTAATAAAAAATAATGTACTTACTTTTCTCCAGCACTCTCAAACAAAATAACACTGACTCACTATAATTTGTGTGATACACTATATTTTTTAAAATATTTTCTTAGCACTTTCCTTTTCAAGATTCAGGAAACGAATAAACGTATTTGTCCCACATTCGTATTTATAGAGTGACGAATTGAACAAGTCAGTGCAAGCAAGGTAGCGAAGCTCTCAGACTGCGACTCTCAGGTTTTTACAAGTTCAAAATGTATTACGACCACAAAGCGAATACCAATATCCTACAACTTATACAATTTTATAAACATAAATTTTTTACTTCATAGGTATTTTTATAAATAATGTATATGTTTTGATATTATAAGATAGTATGATGTAAGTAAATAGGTACTATCAGTGCATGTGTTGAGATCCACTATCGTGGACCTCCATATTCATTTCATGGACCCCCAAATTTTTCTGCTAAAGATTCTCTTATTAAGCTACATAAATACAAAGTATGGCAATATATATGGTAAATACAAAACCCTATGGCTTTAAATGTAATATGTTTAAAAGAGCAATTCGTTCCGGTCACAAAATACAGGGTGTTAGTTTTCTGTATATATGTATAAAACTAACATCCTCTACTTTGTGACCTATTGACGGAATCAAATTCAAATTCAAATTCAAATTCAAAATATTAATAATCAATCATCAGAAATAAATCTACAATATAATGAATATTACCTCTATACTTTGAGATAGGTCATAATATTCTAAAATCAGTAAAGAGAAACTTTTTGGTGACTTCTAGTATTTCTAGTACTCATAGGTACCTAAAATGATTTCGTCGCTCACCTTAGAAAAAAAATTTAGTAGATTGGATTTATTCTTAGTCGCCGCTTGCAATTCTTCTTCGATTCTCTTAGATACAATATCTAGTTCCTGCTCGGATTTTGCTTGTAATTTGTACTTTCGTACTTGTATGAGATTTTTTAAAACTTTCAAACAATTTTTGGTATAACTTGGATTTGTCTATGTGAAACGACATCATATTAAGACCTTAAACTTTGGTTAATGGAATCAATGGTAACACAAATGTTAACTTGCTTTACTATGCTTACAATACCTCTACTCGCTATAGTATCCAAACGAAAAAATACACTGATAGAGGAAATTTAGACAAGTGAACACCGCGCGGTAATTCCCATACTCGGTTCTAAAGCGCGCGCTGTTCACTAAACGTATGCATTATTTGCGGGAATCCCTGCAAATGCGTTTCGTTTTCAAGCAAAGACAATGTGAGGGTTGCCAGTCGTGTAAAAAGGTAAATAACTACCGATGACGTAATCATCATCTAGACTCCCCTACCCCCCATGTCATCCAAAATAAGCAAAGCAAAGATCACGTAATACTTGAACGGCCCCTAATGAGCAACAGCGACTTCACAAAAATCTGAAGAAAAGAAGATTTTATTAGTACAGATACTATAGACAAGTTCTAGTTTTAAGAGCTTGGAATTAGATAACAAGGACTGCACGCAAAACATTTAATTATGGAAAAGCTTTATACAAAAGTAAGTAGAGCCCTTATACATATAACATTTAGTCAAATGAACAAAATCCTTATAAAGTGGTTCTTGAAAAAGCTCTTTCTTAGCGTCAAATAACAGGAACCTTTTTCTATTAATCCGAGAATTTTTATTGAAGTTCACTGAACCCATAATTATGAAAAACCATCCGATAATCCACAAACTTTGAGTAAAATATTGAAAAATGCCAAGCTATATAATACACTCAAACTGTCAAAGTCAGTATCGCAATACTGGTTGCCTATACTCAAGCCTGGTTAGCTTATTTATAAAATGGCTATTCGCTTTTTATTACTATTTTGCTACGGTAATTTACAACCGAAGAATTGAGACGACAAGTAGATTTTTTGATTTATTCTAAACGATTATCGTTTCGCTGGAAATCGACAGAATCGTAAAAATCCAACTTATACCAGTTTTAGGATATCTGATCATATACAAATTGATATAGTTTAAGACAGCTGTTGGGAGAATATCCAGCACTAATTTCTGGAAACTATCTGGTCACGAAATACGTCCCTTGTTTCTCTTAGCTTAGTTGCACTAATAAGGTAGCAATGACCCTAAAGGAGCTTTTTCCTCTGAAGCAACTCATCGACCCGACGCAATTCGATCACATGTAAGATCCGCATTTGGATCTATTTCAAAGGTCAGAGCGCAATGGTGTGTCCCATCGTGAACCAGCGAACTGGGAGCGTTACCGTATCGACAGGAGGCTTGCAAAACACACGATGTGCACAAAATTATGAGCTCGTCCTTTACCGAACAATAACAATAAAGCTTATTTTACTAAAGTTTATTTATGCAGCTGACATGCGAACAGGAATGCGAGAAACGTTTTTTCTGGAAGGTGCTGCGGGGTAGGAAATGTCGTACAAGGTCGTAAGTGAGATGATTTCGTGATAAAGTATTACTAACATTTTTACAATGTAACAAGCAAAATGTACAAACGATCTCATGTACAATTTGTTATAGAGTCTGTGCTTCGCTGTCTGTTGAATATCAGTAGCGTATTTTAAGATCCAGCGCCCTGGCCCTCTCAATACCGGCATGTCAGTCACTGGTGACTGGCACAGAACTATTCCATTGGTGCCGCGTCAGTCATCGGCACGTGTATTATGTAAAAAACCTATAAAACGCCCAAAAAAAACCTATAAAATGTCATCAGGTAGCTTTTAGAGGGTAGGGGGTAGTAATTCCACGTTTGCTCACTAGGCCCATTGTGAGCATCCATCTATGGAGGAATAGCTCAATTATACGCATTGTTGGTTGCATATGTTTTGTGAAGCCTAGTTTCCATCTGTGAAGAAAGTTGGTTGAATAGCAAGATCGCATCTAGATGATTGTGTGTAATCATTACTAAATATGCTGCCAATTAAGTATATCTATTAGCTGTGTCCGACGGGTTGTCTATATATTATAGTTTCTGAAGGCAGGTTCTGTACAAAGTTATAAATTCCGATTTTTTACGTTTTCTGTGTTTTCAAAAACTTTGAGAAGAATTACAGGAAATTACCACCGTGCCCGCGTTGTGTATTAGCATGTATATGACTTGTAATTCGATAGTGTACAGTGAATATAATTATTTCTTATCTCTCTTATTTTTGAAATTTAGCAAATTTACATATGTAATTTCGAGAATGGATAAGAAAAAGTGGATGCGCCACTAATTTCCAGCTTCGCATCCCAAGTAAGTGTATTTGAGAAAAGAATCCAATGGAATTACCATCAACACATATCATTAGCACACAAATTCTCACTATGCAAACATGCATTGCCGTTACCTCCAGTAACGCCATCTCTGAAGCAGATTTTACATCACATCAGATCCAAAAATTGGTAACTGAAGCCTCATGACATTTAGGCAACACGTACAACTACAAAACGAGTTAACAATGTGTCCAACAGCTAGTGTTAAGTTACCATCTCGTAGCTAAACCTACATAATATCATCATATCGTCTTTCTGGTGCGTAATGCATCGAAGTAAATAAAATATCTATATCTTTCAGTTTCTTAGGTTGACATTCATTGAGTTAAGGTTTGCCGCCCCATACACGCCTGAGTTGTACCATTATGACCCAAGCAGATCCAATGTAGTTTCGCACTTATTCGTCTAAGTTGTGAGCATCTAATAAACAACTTTTGGTAAAACTTTTCGTTCCCGCACTTGTAATACTGGGCATTTTAAAACTGGCGCAGCAGACATTTACAAATTGCTTTTATTTAACAAATATTTTTCCTATCATGCTGAACAAGACTTATAAATTTTGTGTAGCTCTCCAATGAGTATGCATAGTATTATCAAGATTCATAGGGGTGTTTTTGACGTAGAAGTAGAGGTTTTTTGTAAATGGCCGTTTTGAAAACTGAAAACCCTGAATATTCTGGACCACTACCTTTAGAAATACTGCATGGGGCTATTTAGTACGTACATATAAATCATCGTATTTTTCTATATAGTTGACTCCGGTTGTGCTAAAAATTATATTTTCGGGTTAATTTGCTTGGAATATACGACCTATGCCCAAAACCTTCCTACACAACCGGTACTCGTACAAGGAACCGGAAATTACAAAGCCAGCTGTCAAAGGAACCGGGAGTCCCGCAATTTTCGGGACTTTTAGGACTTTGTCAAATTTAGTTTTGAAGTTGCAACGTGCAACTGTGGCGTTAAATCGTAAATTCCATACATAGATACAGGGTGTTAATTAGGTATCTACCATGAGTTCAACAGACGATTCTTTAAGTAATTTTAAGACCAAAAGTTCATACAAAGAAGGTCCCCGAATTCTCCTTCTCTGTGTTAAAACTAAAAAAAAGGTTTTTTCGAAAATATCGTAAATATACCCTTTACCTAACCTTGTTGTATTTTCGCGGTGGTATTTATAA